TGTGCGTGCTTTTCCCATTGCACAATCTGAGCCCATAAATAAATGGCGACAGTTCAATTAGGTCCACTTTGGAGTTTGTCACTCCAAAAATAGCATCGGCGTGCCATTTTGTACATCTCCGGATTGTAATTGAAATTGTAATTGTAATTGAATGTAATTGGAGCCGAACGCCGACAATCTGCGCCGCTCTGGGGCCAACTCTCTCAAGTGCATTTGCCAAAGCAATTGAAAACGAAGCTGCAAAAGTGCAGTTCACATATCTCTGCATGCATCTGGATCTGTAGACGTAGCTATATCTACATACATATATGTATGTATGTATGTGTATATGTAGCTGTACATATCTATACTTTTATTCGTATTTGTATCTGTATCTTTATTTGTATCTATATCTGTATCTTTATCTGTGTCCATATATCATATAGATGAGGCTGCATCCAGCAATTGTTGTTGTTGTTGTTTGTTTGTTTGTGTGGCCCCAATACGTCCGATGGCCCGTTGTGGCCTTTGATGTTGATATTTATAGAGCACATGGAAAACTTTTAGAGTTTTTGCACAACAATTGAAATAGCAGAAGCAAAAGCAAATACAAGTGCATGCTGATAATTATAATAATCTAAATAGCTACTTAATCTGCACTCTATATATATACATATATACATATATATGCCCATTCATACTTTGTTTACGCATTTCATATTATATCATATTGTATCCGACCTTTTTTATACCACTCTGTCTCAGTCTCTGCACAATGAGCTTAAGCTTTGCACTATTTAAGCTGTCGATCAAGCAGTCAATCACTCAGCTTTCAGTGCATCAATTAGGCAGTCTATCAATCAATTAACCAATTCACCTGCCCTTCAGTCCGTTTAGTCAATCCAACTGTTGTTAAACCATTCAGCCAATCACTTAGTCCGTCAGTTAATCAGTCAATCATTCTAGAATTTGCTCAATCAATAAGTCAGCTCGTCCTCAAACGGTCAATCAACCAGCTCAGTTCCATCTATTAGTCAATCGGTTTTGTAAACAATGCAAATATCATTTATATGATTGTTACAAATCTACAGTAAGCT